CCGCCTCGGTGCCCTTCCTTTTTGCAGAGCAGGCACCCGTCTGGTTAGATCTCAGTGAGCAATGACATGCAAACTGCAAATCCTGGAGCATTTTTAGGAGAACTGTGTTTTTTCAGAGAGCCAGCTCGGCACGGATTTTTAATTTTTCGGGATTTGCTTTACAGTGAAGTGGTGGAATCAACACAGGGAAAGGGAACGTAAAAGCTAGAAACAGATGGAGAAAATATGAAACAGAGCTCTACATTTTTTGCCTTTAGATTAATGAGCACAACTCCCGTAACCATCTGCGGACGGACCGAAGCAGACAAAACAGTGCATGCAAGGTATAGTACAAGCGGTAACTTCAGATTTAACACTCTTAAGGCAGCTCAGTGCAGGAGAAAGGTGTCAGTCTACACTCCCTTCTGCCAGTAAGCCCTTCCCTCAAGCTACTTCATTACTGCCTACATTATCCGCGTGCTGCCCAAAGAGATTTCCCATGGTGCAGAGGGGACGGGAGCGTGACGGCCGGATCGAGTGACACGAGAGCGCAGGAGCTGCCAGCCCCGAGCCTGAGCTTAATGTGACGAGCCTGGCGCCTAATTCAGCCCGACACATTCAATGATGCATCATTTGCCGTTGAAGGACTTTGCGCAGCCATCTGGGGACAGAGTCTAGCGTTTTGCTCAGAGATTGCAGGAAACAGGCTGTCACTCAGACTATCAGAAACACGATGGTTTCGCAGAGGGAAAGGGTTCAACCAGGCCTCTCCAGACACAAAAATAAATACACAGAAAGCTTTGGCAGAAGATTTCGCTCACCAAGATGAGGATATGCAGCCCTGCCACATCTCATGGTCTAACCCGGGGTAACTCCCACCCATGTAATAGCACTGCAATAAATACTGCAACCCGAACTAACTAGTACAAACAGGGTCTGAGCAAGAGCACTGGCGGTCATCTCCAACTTCAAGTGACCCAACATACTCACCTGTTCAATTTGTATATGGCCAGATACTCACAAACAAATCAGTTTTCTTGGGTCAGGGAAGTAAGATAAATTCTTCAGCCAATATAATTTTCCACGTGCTCCTTCAGGGACAAATTCTGTTTTTTGTTTTTTTTTTTTTAATATATCTGGCACTTGTCTGTCACCAGGTGAAACTTCCAAAGAAGCAACAAACCTGAGCCTCTGTGAATGGTTTGTTAAGGCAAGACTTTTCATCTGGTGCAATTGCAAGAATCTTCATTTGAACATGGACCCAGTAAGTGCCTGTGCCTCCTCTTCGCTCCCTGTGCCCATGGCTGCAAGCTTTCGCTGCAGTGCATCAAAAATGAACATTTAAACCTGCAAACACTGAAACTCTGAGGCAGGAATAGCCGGGAGTGAGTCCCCAGGCACACATTGGTTTGGGAGATTTTGTCCCATGACAGCAGCAATCTCGCAGTGAAAACCAAACCCTAACTCTCTCCAGATGGTTACAGGGAGCAGCTGCCTGAATTCAAGCTGAATCCGAGCCTTGCTTCAAGCTCGCGCCCACTTCTCACCTTAAGTCTGCTCTGCAGCCGGCTTGAAACGCTCCACCTTGGAGGGAAAGGAGACAGGCATCTGCATCGAAAGCACGTTTCCTGTGCCTGCCCCTGGAAACGCGCCCTCGCTTACATGCTTTTAAGGTTTTATCTGATGAGAGCGGAGCCGGCACTGCCTCACTCCCGCACCAACTGGTGGGGCAAAGCCAGGACGTGTCCGGAGCAGGCCAGCGGAGCTGCCGCTGCTCGG